GTTCAGGTCATGATCGCAGGGTTGTGGGTTCAAGTCCCGCGTGGGGCTCCGTGTTGACAGCTCAGCCTGGAGCCTGTTTCAGATTCTGTGTCTCCCTCTCTCTCTGCTCCTTCCCTGTTCGTGCTCTCTCTCTCTCTCTCAAAAATAAATAAACATAAAAGAACGAGAACTGAAACACACGAATCTTCAGATCAGTGTGATTATTAACCACTCCAGCCCGATAAAATTGTAGCAATGCACAGGGCAATAATGGCTCACAACGTCCACCTGATCATAGTGGCTTTGTGAGTCACAGGGAGAATCTCAGTTTAGTGCCCTTGCTCTCAGAGAGGGGAAGGCGAGCCAGCCTGTCACTAAAGAGTCTCTGGCCAGAATTATTTTCTCTTTGAAAATAACAGCGTATAAAATGAGGTAGGTGGGTAAGTGGATGGGGTGGCCACACACTATGTATGTGTTTAGATAGAAAGATAGATGATAGATAGATAGATGATAGATGGATAAGAAAGGATCCAAAGAACAGCTGAGGTCCCTAAAGGGTAGAGAGAACGTCAGATTTGTACAAGGACAAGACTATTGAAGCACCTTTAAAATCTGGTTACCTATTGGAGTAACATTTGTGTTTTGAGACTACTACAGTCCTGAGTATTCCTCTTGTCTGTCCCCCACAAACTCTTTTTTAACGTTTATTTATTTTGAGGGAGAGAGGATGCAGGGGAGGGGCAGAGAGAGAGAGTCCCAAGCAGCCATTCTCATCACGGAGCCGGACACGGGGCTTGAACCCACAAACTGTGAGATCACCACATGAGCTGAAATCAAGAGTCCGAGGCTTAACCGACCACCCAGGCGCTCCTGTCCCCCACAAACTTGTGGCCACATTTTTCTTACCATAAGATGTTTGTTTCTATCATGAAAACAAATGAGACCTTATTTTCTGTAAATGAGATGTGAATTTTTACAAACGAGAGAAATTTGGACACGAATCATTGGGCTTTAGTCAGCACCACATGCCTTTCCCCTTTGCAAAGCAGAGCAGCACCCCCAGAAGCATTGGGGCATCCCAGCAATGGCTGCTCAGACACTCACCGTATGGGAACTCATCATCTCTCACTGCCGATCACATGCCCCCTGCTGTGGCGGCTCCAGGGTGCAGCCTGTGAGTCAGGGCTGCAGACAGGTGAGAGAGAGCCCGTTTCACAGGGGGCTGGAACTGGCGGCTGGAGGGAGCACCCGGGGTGGCCCTGAAGCAGGTGCACGAGGGTGGCAAGGGCCTCTCCTTTCCTCAGCTGGTTCCGGAGCAGATGTCTCCCCACGGCTGGGTTTTGTATGTTTCTGCTTGAGAAAACCTACTGCTTCTGGGAGAACGGTTATCCCTGGCTTTCCTGAGATAAACTCCTTATAATAATGAAGAAGTTAATTGGGAAAAAAAAAATAGCTACTAACCCAGCTGGAGTTTGCTGTGAGGGCAGTGGCTGCAGTGATGGAACCTGTGCAGGTGCGGAAAGGGGGATTTTGAACCCTGAGATAAAGGTTTTGAGGTTCTGTGATCTCATCTGCTTGCTGGGAAGTGATTATCATTTCACCTGTAATTGCACTGACAGTGTCTACTGGGGATTGAAGATTATTTGTGGAAAACATTTGTGAACTGTGCACACCCCCAAATGCTATTAAAAGTGATTAATTGAGATATGTAACAGGAGTGTCAGGACAGGATGGGGAGGGCAAAAATCCTCATGCAAATTGAACAGAAGGCACTGAAATCTAGTGAGAGAACTAAACTGAGCACATCATATCCACTTGGTCAATCCAAAATACCATTTCTTTCCTTTCCTGAGAGATCTGAGGGTACTGAAATTGAAGGGAGAGACTGTACTGGGTGGGTAGAGTTGGAAACAACACACAATGTTGCAAATGAACAGGAATTCTGTGCAGGATATTTGTTTAGTGCTTCAGCAGACATGTACCTTATGTGGGTCAGGCACATTTCTAGGTATATGATGTATGAGTGCACAGAACATAAACAAGGAATGTTTCCTTATGGAAACTGCATTCTCATTAAGGGACACAGACAATAAGCAATGAGTCTAAGGTGTTGAGTTACATGGTATCTTAGAAGGTAATAGGTCTGTCTTTTGGAAGTAGAAAAGAACCAGAAGGAGTGAAGAAAACTACAGGGGGTAGGGAAGCATTGCAATAGTGGATTGGATCTCCAAAGAAGGACCCAGTGCAGATGTTATTTAGGGAAAAAATTTAAGGTGGCTAGTGATAAATTCCTTATTTATTCCTTTCCAAATGTTATATATTCATTTTCTTGTTTTATTGCACTAGACAAAAACACCAATATTAATATGGAATAAAAGTGCAGAGAGTAGGCATTGTGTTTTGTTCACAATCTCAGGGGAATACTTTTTTTAATGGACAAAGAGGCATGGCATTTGCAATAGCACTTTTATAGAAGCTCTTTAGGAAGAGCCCTTCTATGTTTGATGACTCTTTTTGTCACATACACACACCAAAATAAATTTTTAAAAATTGCTCTAAAATTATTTTGAATGGAATGGGGGAAAAAAAATCCCTCAATGTAAGACAATTTGTGGAAGCCTTCTAAAGCAGCTCTTCAAGGAAAGTTGATCACATTAAACACTTATAGAAAAAAAAGGTCTCAAATCAAGGACCCCAGCTTTCACCTTTAGAAACTAGAAAAGAAGAGAAATGAAATCCAGAGAAAGCAGAAGAAATAATAAAGATCAAAACAAAAATGAGTGCAATAGAAAATGAGAAATTGTAGAGAAAATTAGTGAAATCCAAAGCCTTAATATCAGGATAATTGATGAACCTCTACCCAAACTGATCATACAGAAAAGATGGGAATACACGAATTTCCAATGTCAGAAATGTTAGAAGTGACATCACTACAGATTCTATAGGCATTAAAAGGATAATGAGGGAATGAGTCCCTTTATGCCAATAAATTCATACATATATTCATACTGTTATGAATATTGACTGATATTTTCATGGACAACAAAAAAAAGGTTTTTGTCAAACATTTGTTGGAATGTAACTCCTTCATCAGACGACATGACTCATTTGCTAAATATGGTAATCGTTTTTAAATTTTGTTTTTTCAACGTTTATTTTTGGGACAGAGAGAGACAGAGCATGAACGGGGGAGGGGCAGAGACAGAGGGAGACACAGAATCGGAAACAGGCTCCAGGCTCCGAGCCATCAGCCCAGAGCCCGACGTGGGGCTCGAACTCACGGACCATGAGATCGTGACCTGGCTGAAGTCGGACGCTTAACCGACTGCGCCACCCAGGCGCCCCGGTAATCGTTTTTAAATACTGAAAGAGTATGTCCTCATTTTTTGTGCTATTTACAACATAAAGCTACAGACACGTGTTTAATTCTGCATTGTTACTGTTCTTTTTCATTAAGTCTGCACAGTCAACAAAACAATAAGGCAAACCTTGAATTGTATTTAGAAATTTCGCTAATGTAAATACTCCCACCATGGCCAACTTCATGGTGAATGTTTGGACCAAGTGGAGGAAGCCAAATATACACCCCTAATAAGTCACATAAGACACCCAAATTCTATCTGGCCCTTCTCCACTTTTCCTGTGCTAACAGGCTCCAGTCCTGGGACATCTGAAGCCTTCCCATATTTTCCAGCATGAGCTTTTCCACTCCTTTGCTGCCTTGGAGTCACTCCCCAAAACAATTGATAATGAGTAACTCCCTTGCTTTACAAGGTCAGAATAAGTATCCTTCCCTTGTTCCCATCTGAGTGGTCTTTACTTCCATAGTTATCATGGAGGTTCCACTGAGATAGTCTGCATTTTTCTTGACCAGCTTTTCTGTCTGTGGAGATTGGTCAGTGGCCAGACTACCAGTGTATAACCCTGAGTTTTCTGTGGCTTTGAAGAAGAAGTCCTACAGGAACCAAACAATGATGGCAAGTCCTGAACCAGGCTCCCCTAGACAGCCGGACCAGCCACGATGCCTGCAAAGGAATGCAATGTGGCCTTTAAAAGAAGGTGGGTAGCTTTAGGAATACAGGGTTCTTAATAAGGAAGTATGAGGTATACAATGAGGAGGTGGCTTTAGAATGTCCAAGATAAGTGAGAAAAGCAAACTGCAGGTCGGTGTACAAAAAGTAACTTTATATGAAGAAAAATGATTTGTATAGAAACATTTGAACACACACACACACACACACACACACACACACACACACACACACAGTGACCCACACAATCGCGCTGCCACAATTCTAAAAGGACAATACTATATTGCAAACATTTTCTCCAGGACGTTGAATTTTTAGAGACTTTTTACTTTATATTTTATGATGCATAGTGTAGTACTCCTTAAATAGGAAATTGGACATCCATTAGATTTTAAGAATTAGGAAAATGAAGGTACACAGCTTTTTTCAATTTCACTGTGAAACTGCCTCGGTTTTAGATGAGATTCCTACTACTCACAAGAGACATGTGAACCCCATGCCCAGGAATCACGGCACAAAGTCGTAATTTCTTTGCACGTGCATCGAAGTCACTCGGAAAGCTTGTTAATACACAAATTCTCGGGCTCAACTCCTGAGTGTGTAATTCAATAGGTATCTGGACTGAGAATTCGCATTTCTAACGAGTTCCCGGGTGATTCTGACGGTGCAGGGTTCAAACCCAAGAGCCAGTGTGATAGAAAAGGCGAGTCCATGGGATGGAGATCTGTGACTCGGCCGAGCCCAGAGAGGTCTCCCCGGCATCTCTGCAGCGAGCCTTCTAGGCTGATGGGAGGCCGACTAGGTTGGGGCCCCAGGCCTCCCAGGCCCCGCTGGGCGCGGGAGAAAGCCCCCAACCCACGTCCAGCAAGTGGCTACGCCGGCCGCTTCCCAGGTGGAGGAGGCCGGACCCGAAGCCCTCCGGGGTGAAGACCGCACTTGCCGCGCACAAACGACCCCCCCACCAGCTCGGGAGGCGAGCCACCCTTCCCACTCCCAGAAACACCCGGGCCTCCGCCTAATGCTCTACATCTCACCTGGCACCGCCCCTTCCTGCGGACCTTACCTCTTATTCCCGCCCCTTCCTGCCTCTGAGCCAATCGCTCTCTGCCTCTCGCACAGGCTCTGTTTCCTCCTCTACTACTGGGCACTTTCTTCCGTCAGGTCTCAGAAACTCCAACCAACGGGAGCCAGTCAGCAGCTCCGCACTCAGCCAAGGGGGACTGAGCGGGAAGTAAGCAGAGCCCCGCGCTGCATTGAGGGCGCTCTTCCTGGCTGGCTCCGGATTCTTGGGCCGTCAGGTGAGGCAGCGGCTGGACTCCCACCCCGAACCCCCACTCCCGAGGTACCTCCCGGTGAGGTGCCGGCCCACTCCCTGCCCCAGGGCCTCCGTGGGAGCAGAAGAGTTATGAGACCTGGAGCCTGAGTGCCCCTTCCCTCCCTCCCGCCTCATTATTTCCAAGATGAGCTTGGCCCAAACACCGGTTTCCGTGGGTTCAAGACATGAGTCGTCGTCTCTTGTTATGAGCCACCTCGGGGCTGTCATGGATTCGGTCAGTGATAAAGCGCACAGGTGCGTGAGACAGATAAGGATAAGAGCAATGAGAAGTGTCAGGAAAGGGCTGTAGTCCGGGAACTGGGGGACCGGGCAGGGGCACCAGGAGCTGTTTTATCCAGCAGCCCAACCAATGAGTACGGCTCTGGCTTCGTTACCTGAAAACAGAAATGCAGGGGGAGGCGTCCAGATGGAGGGGAGTGTCGATTCGTGACGTCAGGAGCCACCTGACTGAAGCCCCAGGCTGGGACTTGAGAAGGGAAAGATCTGCGAGAGGCCGACACTGCAGCTCACCCAGGGAGACCTCCAAAAGCTCAGGGTCCTCAGGGTGGCGCGGGCACCGCTGCGGCTTTCATGAGTTGCTGTTCAGGGATGGCTTCTGGGCCTGAGTGGTCTGAGGAAAGACGGAAGCAGCCTTATCAAGTCCAGCACAGCCTTCTAAATGAACTCAAGGAGCGGGGAGAGCACTGAGCAAAGAAATCACGCTTATTTTTCTCTTCCTCTGACTGCATGAGGGCACGGGAGTTTCCCCACCGATGCACTGACTCTCTTCAGTGTCTGTGTTTGGACGGCATTCTGCAGAGAGACTCCAAAGCAGATCTCCCTCCACCAGCCCCACCCAATCCAGTGGGAAATGTGTTTGGTTCTTTTTTCACGATGTAGCACGAATCAGAACACTATCACCCCCCACAGTTACCCTCCCTTTCACCTGGATTACTGCGCCGGCCTCCACAGTTAGTTCTCAACCCAGCAACTGGCTTGGGAACAATTTACTGGGGTCCTGTCTCCCTCCTGTTCAGTTATCTGTCACGGGATACACCTCATATAAGATGGAAAATCCTCACCATTGCCCTGTCTCATGCGGCCTGGGCCACATGCCGCCCTGACCTCCCTGCCCCCTCTTCCTCCCTTTCCTGCTTCCACCCTGTGAGACTCCTTGCTTTGCAAAGGCTATTTCTTGTGCCTGGAAATTATTCTCAAAAATACCCACAAGGCTCAGTATCTCACCTCCTTTGTTTGCTTAATTGCTCTTATTTAGGAAGACTATTATCACACTAGTAACGTTACATCCCTTCCCCTGTCTTTCCAGTACCCTCATCTTTCCTTCTTTCCGTTGTGCCTGACATTATAACATTTTATGTAATTTAGGGGCACCTGGATGGCTCCATTGGTTGAGTGTCTGACTCTTGATTTTGGCTCAGGTCATGATCCCAGGGTCGTGGGATCAAGCCTAAGTTGGGCTCTGCGTCGAGCGTAGAGCCGGCTTAAGACTCTCCCTCTCTCTCTTTTTCCCTCTGCCCCTCTCCCCTGCTGGTGCTCTCCCTCTCTAAAATGAAATGAAAACTTTGACATACTATATAATTTATAAATTTATGTTTTCTGTCTTCCTTGATTAAAGAATAAGGTCTATGAGGGCATAGATCTCTGTCTCTCTTTTTAATGTTTATTCATTTTGGGGAGACAAAGAGAGACAGTGTGAGCAGGGGAGGGGCAGGGAGAGAGAGGGAGACAGAATCTGAAGCAGGCTCCAGGCTCTGAGATGTCAGCACAGAGCCCAATGTGGGGCTTGAATCCACGAACTAAGAGATCATGACCTGAGCCAAAGTTGGATGCTTAACCAACTGAGCCACCCAGGTGTCCCATAGGTCTTTGTCTCTTGTTTCCTGATGTCTCCTATGTACCAATGATAGTGCCTGAAACCCACTAGTTGTTCACTGAACATTTGTTACGTTTGCAAATAAACAGGATTGCCCCAACGTTTTTCTTTTTTTAATTTTATTTCTTCCCTCCCTCCCTCCCTTCACTGTTCTGACAACTCTTTCTAAATAGCCTCTATACCAATTTCTTGGCATGGGTATTCCTTGTTGGTTTCAGAATGAAAAGGAATCACATTTTTGAGACAAAAGCCTGAGGGTTGCCAAGGCCCCATCATGGCCATGTGCTCAGCTTCATTCTCTCACTGCCCAGGCTTCACTGAGTTCCCAATGACCTTTGTCATAGATGTGTTTTCCCTGAGGTATCTCCACCATTAACTTCTCATAGTGACATAATCCTTATTAATAGCATTCAGTAATTTCCACATTTAACAAATGGTTTTCTGACAATCTGCACTTCCCTTGCAGACACTGTTGGTGCAATTACAAGTGAAATGGTAATCACTTCTGAACACGAAGAGATCATGGAAACCCAAACCTTGTCTCGAGTTCAGATGCCTGCCTTCTGTACCTGCATAGGCTGCCCCCACACCCACTGTCCTGACAGCAAATGCCCCCTGGGTAAGTAGTTTTATTTATTTCAGAGAAGTTTAAATTACTCAAAGAAAAATACCTGAGTAAATCCAGTCATAAATGTTCTATGTAATTTCTGCTTTCTGGTTTTGAACACAAAAAAATATTTTTGTATATATAGGACAGGAGTTTGCTCAGAACCATAGGCATATTGCCACCCTTGTCTCCCTGTATTGGGACAGCTTAACGTCTTCTTTTCTGCTGCCCTGTCATGGCAGAGAGAGAGAGAGAGAGACAGAGACAGAGAGACAGACACAGAGACGGGAAAATACATTGCTCCTGCTTTGGGACAAAGTGGGGTCGGCGTCCCAGGCACGCAAAGACTGCTTTGATGAAAACCAAGATGTTTCTAGAGGACTTTTTCCAACTCTCTCAAACCCAACGCTCAGCCACAAGTACAGTCACAGCTACAGTACATACCACCCTCCAGAGAGAGGGCAGAGGAGGGTGGGGTGTTCAAGAATCAGCTCTCCTTTCCAAAGAACAGAAAACTGTGCACGCTATCCTGAAAACAAACAAAAACTAGACGTCCTATGAAGTCATCACGAAGTGCAGTTGTACTATGCATGACAGATACGTGTGTGCTCACTGTGAAAATGTGACCTGTGTGTAGCCTTATAAAGGTGCGGAGGAAGCTCCGAGTGAGGAAATGATCATTTTATATTTTCCTGTACATTTTTTAGCCTGTTAACATTATTGTGTGTGCCTTGAAAACTTTTCGAAGGAAAGTCCACAGGAAGAATTGCAAATGACCAAATCCGTTGTCAGCACCAAGGAAGTCCAAGGTGGCAACCACGAAGCCCACACAAACCCGACACCCATATGTACACAACCAGACTGTCCTTTTAAAGTCCCTGGCCCTTTATTTTGTAGCACAACTTCACACAACCCATTGTAAGATCAGACAGTGAGGATACTCGGGTGTTTGTTTCCTGGGCTCATCGTGAATCTGCCCCAGCAGTGTGTTTTAGGTCACTGGTTCTAGCTATAATTCAAGCCCAGGACAACTGGAGGGGATGTGGGAGGGAGGGCCCAGTCCCTCGAACCACCAGGCGGAGGAGGGAATTAGGACCCCCCCCCAGAAGGCCACACCATACTGTCAGGGGAAAAGAAAGAAAACAAAGGAACAGAATGGAGTCAAGAAAAAGTGAGGGAGAGAGAACGTCCAGAATTTAAAAACCACACGAACAGAAGCTTTACTTCGAAGTATCAAAGCCATAAATGGTCTTGAGGGGGCATGTTTCAATGTGACACCGTGCATGGCTTCCTTCTCTCAGACAGTGTGGGTGTAAGTGGCGCACGGTGTTATTTTCAGAGTTCTAACTTGAAATCCAAGTGTCTTGTGACTCAGCCTTCACATTTCTCACAAAGGACTACGTTCCTCATGGGTGGGGATGATTGTAACACAGGCTTCCAGCAAACTTCTGTAGAGTTGCCCTCACTGTCCCAACTTTCCTGACACAGGGTGGCAGTGAACACACAGAAAAACAAAGGGCGGGGGCGGGTCGGTGGGTTAAGCCTCCAGCTCTTGATTTCGGCTTAGGTCATGATCTCATGGTTCTTGAGTTCAAGCCCTGAGTAGGGCTCTGGGCTAACAGCTTGGAACCTGGAGCCTGCATGGGATTCTCTCTCTCCGTCCCTCCCTCACTCTCTCTCTAAAAATAAATACAAATAAACTTAAAAAAAGGGGGGGGCTAAGACCCTTCCTCTCAAATATACCCCCCACCAAAACATTAAAACTGTTGAAAAACTGTAGTAGGTTCGGCACAGAAACGTGAAAGAGTTTGTAAAGACATCCGTTCCTTCCATTTGAAGTCTGTTTCCACCCCTTCTTTTTATTCTTTTAAAAGTAATGCCGAGGTGGCTAAATGGCAGACCTGTGGCCGACGTCCGTGTAAGTGCACAGTACCCCCTGTCCTCTCCCTCAGCCGTTTCACGGGCACCGGAGGGCCCCCGCAGTGTCCGCTCTGCGTGACTCTCCACCTGACCGTAAGCGCCCACGTGTCATGGGTTTTCTCACAGCAACAACATTGACGTCTCTCGTTCGTTCTGAATTCTCCAACGGCAGGGAAGGCGCCCCTTCTGGCTAGAGGCCCCTAGGTTGTGCCAGGAACATCCTTGCCGCGGTGCGTCCCCGACAGAGGCGGCCCGAGTGCCCTGCCCCCCACAGTTCGCCGCTCGAGTCCGATGGTGGGGGGCCGCCCGCACGCGGCCCATGCCCGGTGGGGCGGCCCATGCCCGGTGGGGCGGCCCATACCCGGTGGGGCCGCTCACGCGTCTGAGGGCCAAGCAAATCTCCCCGCCGTTCTGCACGGCGAGTGGCGCTTCCCGCCGGGGACCCCTCTGGAGGGCCGGCAGAGGCGCAGGGGGCCCCCTCAGGGGTGCACCCGCCGGTGCTGCAGCAGGTGTGAGCGGCGCTTGAAGGCCTTGCCGCACTGGGGGCAGCGGTGGGGTGCCTCCGCGGCGTGGACGACCGAGTGCTGCAGGAGGTAGGTGCTGCGGTGGAAGGCCTTCCCGCACTGGGCGCACGCGAAAGGCCTCTCCCCGGTGTGCACGCGCCGGTGCTGCAGGAGCTCCGCGCCGCAGCGGAAGGCCTTGCCGCACTCGGCGCACTCGTACGGCTTCTGCCCCGTGTGCACCACGTAGTGCTGGATCAGGTGCGCTCGGTTGCCGAACGACCGCTCGCAGGCCCTGCACTCGAAGGGCTTCTCTCCCGTGTGGGTGCGGCTGTGCCGGACGAAAGTGGAGCGGTGGGCGAAGGCCTTCCGACACTGGGCACACTCGTAGGGCTTCTCCCCGGTGTGGACCGGCCGGTGCTGCAGGAGGTAGGACCTACGTTTGAAGGCCTTTCCGCACTCCGGGCACGTGTATGGTTTCTCCCCGGTGTGGATGAGGTAGTGCCGGATCAGGGTCGAGCTCTGGCTGAAGGCTTTGCCGCACGCGTTGCATTCGTAGGGCTTTGTGCCGGTGTGGACCCGCTGATGCCGCACGAGGTACCACTTGCGGTTAAAACCTTTCCCACACTGCTTGCATTTGTAGAGGTCGCTCCCCGCACGAAGCGCGCAGCCTCTGTCCGGTCCCTGTGGGTCCCGCTCACGGAGCACCTCTCCCGGAGAGACTCTCTTTTGCAACACCTGGAGGTGCAGATCGTCCTCTGTCCCCAAACCGTCATCTTCAAGGTTCATTCTCTCAAGGTGGGTCTTGTGAGCGTCCCTCCCAGGCGTCAGTCGACCTTTCTGCGTTTCCAGATGCCCTTCCCAATCCCTGGCCTGCACCAACCTGGAGGCCCTTGAAGGTCCCTGGGCCGGGCTTCCCCGGAGCCAGGCTCCCGCAGACAAAACCGGCTGACAAGCGCTTGGGTCTCTGGTCCGAAGTCTGGTGCTGTCACCTGAAGAGAATCCGACACACAGAGGGGGACTTTTAGTGACACAGTATAGGAGAGACGAAATCAACGCTGCAGGGGGCAAGCGAGGCTGATCTAGCACCACTGACAATGGCTGCGTTTTACATCTCTAGAACCTGGGTTTCCAAGGACCGTTCCGGTGCTTGTACCCTTTACACCATTAAAGGGAAAATCCGGAGGGCAGGCGGAAGGAGGAGACGGAGGGTCTGGAGTGGACACCCCTCCTCACGGTCCAGAGGATAGGATGGGGGACAGTTTTGATCACTCGCTCCAACAACAGATGTCCCTTGGTGCTAGGAGCACATGGAAACAGCGCTGAACAGGACGGGGAGGCAAAAGAGGAGGTGTCCCATGAGCTAGGTCCTAATGGAGAAGCCAGAGACTTCAGAGAGAGGAAGAGGGAGGGGGCACTGGATTGAAATGGAAGGAACACGTGTGGGCAGAGTCACTCCTGGAAGAGTGCTGAACAGTTAAAGGAAGGAAGGGCCCCGGAGGCCTGGTGAGGCCAGGCCACCACCGAAGGGGATCACAGTCAAAGGAAGAGAATCAAGACTGAAGAAGAGGAGGGATGGAGGAACATTCGGGGTCCAACAGTGTAAAAGACAAGCTTCTGCTCTGCTGGGAGGCATCACGTGGTGGTTAAGGGGGCTCTGGAGCCAGAAGCCATTCGTCAGTCCCGCCTCCACCAAGTGAGTGATCCTGGTAGATGGGCTACCTTCTTCTTCAAGGCAAGGTTTCCATCTGAGAGACCAGGAGGTCTGTTGTGAGGGTTCAATAAGAAAAGCGCTCGGCACGGTTCTTGACGCAGTGTGTTTACTCCACTGGGTCATTATCTTGATTACCTGTGACGGTTACCTTTATACATCAGCTCGGCTAGGTCTGGTCCAACAGTTCTGGCTGAGGTACTTTTTAGATGTGATTAACATTTAAACCAGCAGACTTTGAGAAAAGATCATCATCCACAATCTTTCAAAGAGAGTGGGCCTCTTTGACGGCGGGCCTCAGTCAGTCAACTGAAGCCTTAAGAGAAAAGATTGAGCTCCCCTGGGAGGGCAGGAATCCCGCCTGCAGACGCCTTCAGACTCAGGCCGTGACATCACCTCTTCTGCTTCCTGGCCTGATTCTGCCTCCTCCTGTTGCAATTCTCTGGAGAACCCGACTAATATGCTGTCATTCTCACTGCCGCACCGGGCAGTTAGGATGGCAGCAAAGACACCAGCGAACACAAGCAAAGCTTGCCCCACAAGCCCAAGAAAAGGGCACCAGCAGAAGCTGACTGCACGGACACCACAATGTTGGACTCCTAGCTTCCAGAACTGTGAGAAAATAAGTTTCTGTTGTTCAAGGCACAAAAAGGGGGGAGGGTGGGAAAGCCCCCGATAAAACCCATCCACAGTGACAGCATGGAGACAGTGGTTTCCACTGTAGTATCATGAGGATGGGGCATCAGGGACCCGCTAGTGTGCTGGAAATATTCCAAGTCTGGACTGGGGTGAGGAATACCTCAGTACACATGCAAACACATAAGCCTGACCCTTAAGATTTGTGCACGTCACCGTACACTTCTGATGTTAAGGGAAGAAGACCAAGCAGAGTTTAAGCAAAAGGTAAGGAAGTCAAGTGTAGACGTTTTTCCTAACAAATAAGACAGCTCCTTCGAGAAGCTTGGCTTTATAAGGAGAGTCGACACTGGTTGCGGGCTAGTCCAGATCTGCAAACACTTGTGTTTGCTCTATGTGTAGACAACCGGAGCACATGTGTATGTGGAGCAGATAGATGATGACGATGCAGCCAGGCCTGAAAGGAAGCGAGGCAGCAAGCTTCCTGGGAAGGCAAAGGTACGGCCAAGGCCGTGGTATTGGAATGAGCTGTGACCAGAGGCACAGCATCTTCCACAGAGGATGAGAAGGCCACGGGTGCGAGACAGGCATGGACGAGTCGCTCCGGATTGAGGAGCAAGCGGCAGAAGTCCACAGCCTTTATTCCCAACGTGATGCTGAGTGTGTGCCAAGACTCCGGTGGCGGCGGAAGTGCTGAAGCCCTGGAAGGTGTCCGGGTGGCTACGGGAGCCAGTGCGGGAGAAAGGGCTGCCCGGAGGCAGGCAGCAGATGTGGGGGGACCTGCTAGGAGGCTCGGCATCATCCGAGCAAGCGACGATGGAAACCCGGACTAGATGCTGGAGATAGAGCCAGGGAAGGCGGTGGGGGTGATAGATTCGGGGGACATGGGTAATGTCGACCAGGCAGGACCAGG